TTTTCTTTGGGGAAGGGAGAATTTGCCTATATATATAACAAACGGTATGGTGGGACATAGATTGGGAGATTTGCTCCCATTATAAATTAGCATGGACAAGTAAAAAATGTAATAGATCCCGTTAAAGTGTTTTCTATTTTTATTACTTACTTTCAGCTATACATATGAATTTAAAAAGTCAAAAAATGTGACTTTTATCTAAATCTAAAATATATTAGGGTAATATTAGGTCTACAACCCAATCGCATAACCCCTAATGTGGCAATTCGTCATTGGTCAACTTACAAAATAGGTCCCGCCTATCTATTTATAAGCTGGCCAATGACGAGCTATCACGTCGGGGGTTATGAAAAAAGATTTTGAGATTGAGTTGTGAATCTAACATTACTGAATATGTTAAAAATAAACTATTACAAACTCATCCTTATGTCAAAATTAAACACCTCTCGTGATTGGTCATTGTTATTACAAAGTAGGGGTGATCATGGAAATAGGTTCTACTTGAAACCGGTGGGTACCTGATGTCTCGGTTCTAGGTAGGAACTGAAACCAACCCTGACAGGGTAGGTTTCGGTTCTAAAAAATACGAATTGGGATCCCCCAATTCTGGTTCTTTCATTCCAGGAACCGGGAACTAGAACCGGAACCTGGAATAGGGTACCCTGCTAGGAACCAGTAACAGGGTACCTTGCTAGGAACCAGTAACAGGGTACCTGCAAGGAACCAATAACAAGGTACCCTGCAAGGAACCGGGGTTTATACAAACTAGTATACAACATTGGGGCTTTCATAAATTTTACCTCTAAACTAAACCTAACAAGTAACAATGAAATCCCCAAATCAATTTTAATTTGTCATAGACTATGTATTGAACATTTTGGATTTTGGATATGAAGAAGCTATGAATAATTTTAATTTATAGTCTTACACTATATATTAAAATTATTGGAAATATTGTAATTAATTAATAAGGAAAAAGTTATATTGTTATAGAATATTTAAACAAATGGGGGTGTATTTGTAAATTTTACAATTTTTTTTTATCATTTTGTAAAGTTACAAGGACACTGATACTTATACTAGAGTACTCGAAACCAGAATCGAAACTTGTTACAGGTTGCAGTCCAGCAATAAGGAACCGGAACGGTCGGTTCCGATTTCGGTTTCCAATTCAGGAATCAAGTGCCGATCCTCCAAAATTCTAAGATACTCGGACCCGGTCACCCTATTACAAAGGACACTGAAGGGATTAGTCACTTCCCTTCCTACAACCTAAGTCTTTTTTTTTTTTTAATAACTGAGTGTTTGAGCATTTTTTTTAATAACGAGATGTTCGAATTAACTTGCACGTAACTCAATAAATCAGGTCTATAAACACCTATAAATCCAAATAACCAGATAAGTTATAAAATAGAGAGACCATTTTTTTTAAAGCTAGTTGCACAAAATACTTTCCTTCAACACCTAAAAGTCTTTTTCTCGATGATAGTTGGAACGTATCATGCAGATCAAAGGTAACAAACCATAGGCTAAGTCCTTGGGCTTGGTAGCTTTTTTTTTTTTTTTTAATTTTTAAAAATTCTAGATTTTGTAATTATATTTGATATTATCTATTAAATATATATTTTTTGTATGATTATTAATATTAAGTTCAATAACACAATAACCAAAATATAGTTTTGGGTTATTATCATTTAGAGGCTGCTTTATTTATAGTCGAAAAAAAAAAACACAAATTTTATTTGTAGTAAAAAAACATTTCTTTGTTAATAAACAAACATTTTTTTATACTTTTGTGAATAAATTAACAGTTTTTCAAGATTTTTAAAAAAGTGGTTAAGTAATAAAAAAAAAACAATGGATATAAAAGTGAATATATATAATTTTTCTCTTAGTTAAAAAAAAAAAAAAAGTGGCCTCTAAACGATACCTTATTAGTTAATATTTAATAAGGGAAAATAGTGGAATGATTACCAGGATTAATATAATGACATAATTTTAATCTATAATTTCTAATGAAATGAGAACAAATCAGAAAATTAATTAAAGGGCGAAATACTACACCCACCCAACGTTTTGGTACCCAGTTTGGAAAACCATCAACTTTCCACCCTCCATTAAAGTTCGTCCACCAAAATTCAAGTTTGACTGCTTTTGACGTTGAAATGTCAGTTTACTCTTAGTAATACCAAATAACATTTTCAAAATAATCTCTCATCTTAATAAATCTATAAAAAAAAAAGTTCAGTATGAAATTAATAAAAAAAAAAAATTTGAAAACAATGGTGTCAAATAATTAAAAAAAACCTTTGAAAAAAAATTTTCAAATTAATGAAAAAAATCTTTGAAAAAAATAGTGTCAAATTAATAAAAGTCTTTGAAAAATAGATCAAAATAATTACAGAATCAAAAGTTAAAAATCTAAGGTATTGTTACATTATGAATTTACAGAACTTTTTAGAAATCAGATATTAAACTTCAATTTAAATACAACCAGATTTCCACAAATCTTCCATTCAATCAAGATTTTTACACAAATTTTCACCTCCACTTATTTTGTCTTCCAAAAGTTCATAGAATTCTAATCTTTTCTCATTTCTAATTAAAAAAAAAAACAATAACAAATTTCAAGAGTTAAAAAAAAAAAAAAAAAAAAAAAAGAAATGCATAAGTGACACCATGCTTGCCGTGGCTGTCACAAGGCCTAACGGTGGAATTCAGTGAGAGGTCGATCCATTGTTTGAGGAAGGTCCTGCAGCTCAGCCAAGATCTAGCGGGCATGCACAGTCAGGCCAAGATCCGACCTGACCATGCATGGCCAAGCTACGCAATTCAAGACATTTGGCTTGGCCATGAACTCAAAGACAGTAGCTGGCGTATTTTTTTTATTTGTTATTTCCGTTTCTTTTGAGGAGTTTTGTAGTGGTGAGCGAGAGAGTTGTGTTAGGACTTAGGTTTAGAAAAAAGAATTTAAGCTTATAGAATCAGTGAAAGGACACAAATGCCCTTAGACCTTAAAACCGTAGTAGTAACCACCTTCATATAAACTCTTATTCTTTGATGGAAAAGAAGTGAAAAGAACGTAAAACATTAATAAGATCAAAATTCAGGAGGGAAACAAGGTCATTAGTTTACAAAAAAGTCTGTGATTCTCCATCTACATGAACTAAGGTCTTGAATAGACCATAACTATTCCAATTTACAAGGTCTTGGAATTTGATTACTAGGTGGAGGTATGTTCTTGGCTTCCACTTTCGGGTTTTAAAAATGGGTAAACATTGATAGTTTCCCAAACTGACGTTACTAGCTATAGATAGGCAAACTTTACATGGTACAGTATTTGGCCTATAAAATTAACATAACTACATAAATAATCACATTAAAAATAATATACTATAATTAAAAACCTATATAGTATTAATGTCTAATAAAAAACAATCACTAATGAATCCAACAAATAGACAAAATACTCTTGATTAAAAAATAAAAAAATATAGTTATTATAAACAAATCATATCATCCTCCTTGTCTAATCCTTTTAACTCTTTCTAAAAACAGATTGTGTTCACTATCCTTTTTATAATTTTTGTCTCATCTTGGTATTATATAAATATTATCTATCTACATTTTTGTTTTTAAAAAAGAAAACAACATATCTATACTTTCAATGTATAACTAAAAAATTGAAAACACGCAAAAATAACTAAAATGTTTTCTATATTTCATTCTCTTGTTTCCATATTTTATTGTGGAAATGATAAAGAAAACATGTATGTATTTTCTTCATTATTATTTTTTTCAGAAAATAATATTGAAGGCATTTTCAAATTTCATAGCACAAATAAAAACATCTTATTTTCCTTTTTCAGTCATTTTTGTAAAACAAAAACATGAAACGTCACACAAATCTTATACTACCCTTTTGTTTTATAAAGTTAGGCGCATGCCAATTTTTAAAAAGTTTTCAATGACACCCCTTTTTGCTAACTCTGTCTAACTTTCGTTACCAAAACAAAGTGAAATGTCTATTGTGATGGGAAGAAGACGAAGACTAGCTGAGGAAGAGGAGAGGATCAGAGGAGGGATGTAGAGGAAATGGTGGTAGGTTGGGGGTGGTAGGTGGAGGTAGAAGCAAGGTTCAGATGGGGTTTTTTTGGCGTACAATATTTTTATACAATATAATGTGGTAAAATATGATTGACTGATTTTAAATTAAAAATAAACTTTCATTCACTCATCTTTTATCATATCATTTTGTATAAGAAATGTTGTATGTGTAGTATTACTCTTTTTTGTTTTTATGTTTCTTAATTATAATGATTTTTATTTTTATTTTATAATTATGCGAATTTATAATTGCATAATATATTATATATTACTTACTATAATTAAGTAATTTATAAATTTTTAATTTATGATTTGAAGATAAGTACCTTTTTAACCTTCTTCTGTTAATGGACATTGAATGTTGCTAGGTTGAAGGGGAGTTAATGTGATTTTTTAATATCCTGGGGTTATGATTGATCAAAGGGTTACTTCATGGGAGGACATTTATTTTAAAAATTAAAAAAAGGACACAAGTTTTGTTTGTATAATAATCAAACATTTTTTATCACTCAAATGATACTTTTTAAATTATGTCTCTAAAATAGTGTCCGTCTATTGATAAAAAAAAATAAAAAAAAGTGTCTGTTTATTGATAAAGAAAAAAAATATACATGGTTTGGTAAAGTCATGAAATTGTTCATTGTTAATTAATACAGATGAAACTTGCGTCATTTTTTCACTAGTTTGTATATTAAGTGTTCTTTGGATGGTACTAACCCTTGATTAAATTCACAAAAGCTAGCACGCGCATGTGAGTTTACAAAATAATAGGGGTGATCATGATATTTGGGTTCTTTTATAATCCCAAAACTTTTTCTCAGTACAGCTCAGCCCCTAAGTTTTTCCCCAATAATAGCCAATCCGGTCAGCCGGTACCTCATCCTACTAAACTAACCGGTATTGTGACCACAACTAGAGCCCCAGCCCCCATGTGAGCAGCCAAATGTGAGGAAAACGACACAATCACAATAGTCTACATCTCACAGTTCATAAATAAACTAACCTTTTCATGGCTCTAAACAAACAACTCTGACACAACATAGATTTTGTTGGTCCGACTCCAATCTCACTTCTAACCACAAACACTTGCTTACACCATCATATTCTTCACCACTCATCTCACTCTCACTTATGTCGATCACTGCTGCTTCTTCAATCTCTCTCGGTAATCTCGATCAAACGCTGTTTCTTTTTCTTTTGATTTGTTTTTCTGTGAAATGATTTGAAGGAGTGGAGTGATCTGAGTGTTTTATTGCAAATTTGTGAGATACCCATTTGAATTTTGCATGTTTTGGAGGAACCCATGTTGGTGCTTTGAGTTTTGATTGTGAAAGACTTGACCTTTTGAGGCTGATTTGTTTCATAGACCCACATGCAAGTTTGAATTTTTAACTTTTGATGGGGAAAGATTAAGTTTGGGAGGCTGATTAGTTTCATAGACTCACATACAAAGTGGTTTTTTAATTGCAAATTTTGTTATTAGTTGATTTTTTTTTTTTCTTTAAATGATGGGAAGTACATGAAGCAATGATGTGGTACAAGGATTCTTTACAGTTGAATGTGTATGTAAAAGAGGAGACCCATTTTTTTTTTCTTTCTAAATAGTAGTGATAGTATAAGAGGACTTTTTTGAAAGTTTAGTGAGTTTGGTATATATATAATTACATGATTTCAAGTTGTACAATTAGTTTGTATTCTTATGAAGAGGGTTTTGAAGTAATTAAAAATTGAACTGTTTGATTCATTTTACAACCTATATATTTGAGGGTGACTTGGACTATGATTTTTTGAATTTGGGTTCTGATGTTGGCTTACTTTGTACTTTGTACTTTGCATTTCTGCCCTCTTAGTTCTTGTGTTGTTTGATGTAATCGTGATTTTGTTAACATCTTTTGTTTCATGTGTGTAAAGGTCCTTCACAATGTCACTTATGCCGTTCAGAGGGGGTTAGTTGCTCAACATCAAATGGGATCACGAGCAGTTGGATTAAAAATCCTTTTGATGGTCGCAGAGCTCCTGATCTTTCTGGCATAAGGTCTTTCTAGTTTTTTTATTCCTGATCTAGTTCGTGAATGATGAAATCGTCTTCAAATTGTGTTGTATTATTTGGTTGTTCTGTAACGATTAGTTTATAACCTTATTTATGCTAATCAAATTAATTTTATAGCAAATGTCGGAGTCCATCACAAGATTTTCTGTAGAATAATATTGATATTTTGGTTAAGGCATTGTTTGGATTTTGTTGTTTCTGCCTAAGATGTCAGGTTATTGTAATTTAGTAGCTTTGAATTTTAGAGACTATAAATCTGTGTTTGGTGTTGCTCTTTCTAGTTTGTTGTTATACTCTGTAGTATAAACAGATATTCATTTATTGCTAAAGAAATGATATATGTAGTCTTATTGTTCGGACTAATATTGTGCATGTTTGTGCATGTATGTCTATGTTGCTCGCTCAGGCAAGCATGTGTATTTGGACCCAAAATACTGTAAATCAAGAATTAAAGAAAATAGGGCATAAGAAATGATGTGCTTTGTTTTCAATTCTATTGCTTCCCAATCTACAAAAGTTACTGATTTTAACAAACTTCAGTGAAAAAGTTATTCTTCTATTTTAAGTTTCGGATGCAGGAATCCATTTTTTGGTTCTGCGCAATTCGATTGGTTGTCTACAGGACGTGATCTTTGCCCTTCAAAAGTTTCAGTTGCTGCAGATTACTCTGATTCAGTTCCTGATTCATCTAATTACATTAATGACCGGGGTTATCACCCTCTTGAAGAAGTGAAATTTTGCAAAAGAATCCGGGACACAAAACTTACTTCTGCAGAAATAGCAAGGACCACTGTTGAGGTTTGAGTGCTTTCAGTTCTTTGAATTAAATAAGATATCAGTTATGTCATGTGAATCTTGTAAAGGTACTGAAATGTTTCCATAGCAGACATAACTTTTGTCCCGTTAAAATCCCATGGTCATAACTCTCCTTTTGTGGCAGGCGAACAACAGTTCTTTGCTGGTTTTTCCTGGGACAGTACACTGTGAACCACATGAGCAAATTTCATGGGCTGAGTTTCAATATGTTGTTGATGATTATGGAGGTCCATTTTAGTCTATTTGAATTTTTCTGTGATGGTGTCATTTGATAATATTTACTTGATTGTCAGTTCAACCATCATCTTCTTTACCTTTTCAGATATATTTTTTGAAATTTTTGATGATGAAAATATCTTACAAGATCCTGGAGCTAATAACCCAGTGGTGAGAATATCTATGCTTTTAGAATATATATATATTTTGTCATGTACATAGAAAAACAATTTAGTTTGAAAAAATTGGTGAATCTGGTTTAATGATAAGCTGGTTATATCTTCCAGTTGTTAGAAACTGAAATTTATTATGTGAAATGCCGTTGCAAAAATCAAGATTAACTCTTATTTCTATTGAGCTACCTGCAGAATGCTTTGATAGGGATGGATATTCCTGTATACAGTAATCAAAGGGTAGCCGCTGGATATAACATTTCAGATACTGGCTCTAGCAATGATACACCTCTCGATGATGATTATTTTGAGGTTGGTGATCACTTTTCTTTGTGTTTGAGAGTGAATTTAGTAATCTCCTTATTACTGATGTGCATTTAAATCTCATGCTCATCATGTAGGTTGTGGATTCTGAAGTTTCTGATGTTCCAGTCGACTGGGGAATGCCAGATACTTCCAGCTGGGTTCACCCTATATATTTTTCTAAGTGTTTAACCAAGGTGATAACTGATTGATTTTATATTTAGTTTGCAGGGAGTTAAGTGAAGATAACTCTAATTGTTATACATTGCTTGTTGCTGCTTGTTGAAAATGAAGTAACAGGTTTTATGTTACTAATAACTAGATTTTTTTGGTTTTAGATTCAGTAGCTGTTTGAAAAAGCCATAAATGAATTCATGGCTAATAAGAATTAGCATGTTAGTGGTTAATCCATCTAAAGTTTGTAACTTTACATGGACTGAATCCTGTAGGGGAGTGGAGGGTGTCTTTGCTTAAAATAATGAATATCTCAAATGTAGTTATTCAAAAGTGGGAATTTTTAAACTGTTGGGTGATATGGGTTGTCTTCAGTGTCTACTAAAAGTTCTTTTTTTATTTTTTTTATTGAAATTGAGAAGTATCTAATTCCAGATTTATTGCAGGCAATATAGATGGTTTTGATTGCTTTATTCATTTATATCTGTTCCTGGAGGGAAGAAGCAGTGTCCTTTGTATTTGGTTGTATCGATAAGATTCATGCGTATCTTATTATTCTGATTTTTTCAATTATATGGCTTAGTATGCAGCCTGCTGTATGGTTTATAAAGTTTTTACTTTTATGTAGGCTGTTAATATGGAATATTATAGAAAAATGGATCATCCTTCAAATGGTGTTTCTATTGTGGGATACCTCAGACTGGCTTTTGCTGATGAAGAAACTTATGTACGAAGGCAATTTCACTGTGAAGATAGTGATGGCAGCATCTCAGACTGGAAAGGTATCCCATTTTTTAGGATTAGGTTATTCAATCACCAAATGCACCAATCTTGCAGTGATAAAGTTACTAGGACTTGAGGGGATTGTGAGATCAGGGGGATACTTTTAGAATGAAAGTTATAGCATTGGTGGATATAAATTCATAACCATCCAGTGGGTGGTCTAGGATGTCTCTCAATTGTAATATGTAAGTATGCTATGTCTTCTGGAATCGTTAAAATGGCAATCCATATGCGTTAGTGTTGTAATGTAGTCTTAGCCGCATAGGCCATGATGTGTTCTATTCAGGCCTGCCTGGTTTCTGACGCTATGAACTGGCAATGGGTCCTTTTGCATCTTTTTAGTCCTATGACTATCAGCCTGTTTTTTTATTATTGGTTAAGAAAATGAAATACAGTCAGATTAATATTCCTTGTTCATTATGCGAGGATGTGAGTAGCTGTTATATTACAGTAGTCAAACAATGGACCCAAATAGATTATACATTCTGTATCTATATATGTGTGTAATATGCTTCTGCAAAAAGACAAATATTTTGGATAGAAATCCTTTTTATATTTTTTTAATAAATTAGTTCTTCCAAGTTAAAAAGTTTGGTCATATAAATATATATGTTGTGGTATTTTAATTTGACTTACCTTGCTGTTTTGTTTAGATGGTGAAATTCTGAGTTTTAGTTCGAAAAGTGATAAAAGCAACACTAGCTCAACTCTCTACCGGTTGGAGATTATGAGAATAGACTTATTCTCTGTGTATGGAGTCCAGGCATGTACATTACACTCCCTATTGTTGTTTTTATAAGTTTGACTCCTGTTATCCTGACCAACCTGACTTTTTGGAGTTATGAAAATTAAAATTTTACTGTGATCTTATTTGTTTAAAAATAAGAAACAATGTAAATTATACTATCCAGCTCGGTTAATAAGTAGGTATTGTTAGCAATTGGTTATAACATTCAAGTCCTGCAATCGGATTCAGTTACTTAAATGTAAAAATAAGTTCATGTCATTCTACAATGGTTCCCGTGTACCAGATTTTGAACCTTGGATTCAAATTTGCATTACTTTGAATACATGCAGTATCCGATTAATTTGCAAGACTTTCAAGATGCTGAGCCCGATGCCCTTGTACACTGTACTTCAGCAATTATAGAGCACTTCAGTGAAAAAGGAATTAGGTGCAATGTTGCTCTTAAAGCGCTTTGTAAAAAGAAAGGTCTTAATGTTGAGGTAAAACGAATTTCAACTATTATATGCTGGTTTTCTTATAAGTGTCGAGGTTTATGTGTGTACTTGATTAGCTATGCTTTTCAAGACACTTGTCTCGATTAGCAATTTGTATGTTTAACACTTTGTCGTGTGATACCTGAATTTAGTTTACTCTTTTGGATGTTTATGAATAAGTGCAACATCATTTGTGCAGAAGTTTGCCAGAATACATGTTATTGCCCCTTAAAAACGATGCTATTATAAAAATGTTATTCAGTATATATTTCCATTGAGTAATGCTAGGTCTACAACCCAATCTCACAACAATCGACGTGACAGATCGTCATTAGTAAACTCGCAAAATGGGTCACGTCTGCTTGTATAGATTCCACCTGCCCATTTGCAAGATAAAAAATGTCGAACTGCTAAGTCGGGGGTTGTGAGATTGAGTTGTAGACCTAAAATTATTGATTTCCATTACCATATAGAGTAAGTTTTGAAGTCAACAATGAAATATTTATATGCTTGGTGTGAACATTTGAACCTACATAGCTGTGCTTTGGGAAATTGTTCTGAAGATATGAGTTGTGTTCCGGTCATCTGTGTGTCAGATATAATTTCCAAAGATGCCACCGCTCATGTATAGACATGTCTGTGCCTCATAGTTCATTTTCACTTTGTAACTTTTAGCAATGAACCGTTGTATGCAATGATATCCGATTTACTAATGAAATATAAGAATTTGGAGAATAAAAACACAAATGGTACTACTTATGAATCTTCCTTTTTTTGTGAAATTTCATGAAACTTATGGGGTATAATTTCTCAAGAAACATAATTTCATGTAGCAAACTTCTTAACCTCACTAACCAGTTATTTTACTTGGAACTGACCTGAAACTTTTTCGTGTTAAATTTGATACGATGGATGCGTTTTAGCAACTATGAGGCATGGTAGAAAATATTTTGAGCATGCTGTTCAATTGATGTGATGTAAATGAAGTGATTTTGTATCATTGTTAGATGATTTTATGGATGCTGTTCTTATTTCGTCACGGAATTGTTTGTATTTGCAACATAAGTGAGGTTCTCTTAGTATTTCTCCACCTCCTGTAGCATTCCTTTTTATCCTCAGATAATGTGTTAGCTAAAGTTTTTGTCATTTAACGTTTCTTAATTCATTTGACCAATATGAAACTCTGATCGGTTAATTTGATTCTGTAGGGAGCAAACTTGATTGGAGTTGATAGTCTCGGTATGGATGTCAGAGTTTTCTCTGGGGTAGAAGTACGGACTCATCGCTTTCCTTTCAAAGTCCAGGTAAGCAATTTATATTGCAATTGATAATATTGGATCAAAAGTACTTTTAATTTCATAACGCCATGTAATGTTTTTCTTAAATAAGAAATTTATCCAAATGCATTTTTCACCCACAATTCCTACCTTTCTAGACCATCTAGTACCTATCAATATGTTAATTTGATTGTCTGAGATGATACCTTATGACATTATACCGGTGGAGTTTGTGTTTGCTTGCTCAAATGTTCTACTGGTGAAACAAATTTTGCTCTATTGTCCTATACATGTACGTGTTTGCAGAAGCATGTTGATAATTATGTTTTATGTTTTTCTAAATAAGCTTGCTGAATCATTCTGAATAAGATCATCCTTTGCTTGACAACTTTTTGATAAAAGCTTTACGTACATTGCATTAATTGATTGATTAACAATTAGCCAACCTGTTTTTGCAGGCGGCATCTGAATTTGCTGCCGAAAAGCAGATCCAGCAACTCCTGTTTCCGCGTGCTCGCCGAAAGAAATTTAGAACTCAACAAGATATGCTGAAAGACCCAGATTTTTTTTAGTTTTCGTGTAAGTAACAAATAAGAAATTTATTTTCAGAAGAACTTGGATCAAACCCATGAGTTCCAACATATTGAGGACATCTAAAATAAATGGGTTTCTATATTTAACATATCCCTGCTCTTTCATTCGAATGTAAATAGAATAAATACTCTGTTCTTGACTCTTTGAAACAGTAACATGATAGCTACCTCAAACTGATATGCAGAAAATGCATAAAAATAATAACATAAAACTCTTAGGCTCCGTTTGTTTTGTTATTCTTATCCATATTCTCAAAATACTTATTTGTTTTATTATTTGAGAAATACTATTCTATTTTTTTAATTATTTTTAAACCTCTTAAGTTTATTAATTTAATTAAACACCCCTTAGAAAAAAAAAGTTTAAAAATTAATAAAAACACCTCCACCCACTCATAGTTGTTAGATTCCAGTAAACACCGTCGATGGTTGTTGGAATCTGTCACAACGGTGTAGAAACGATCGGAAATAGCCGGTAATTCACCAATCTGACATTTTTCGGTCAGATCCAGATTTGGTCGGAAAAGGCTAGATTTGGTCGTCAATGACGGCTAAAGAAATTGCCATCGTTGATCGACAACGACGGCCATATCTTTGGCCGTCGTTGACAGCCAAATATGGCATTTTGCGACCGTCGAAGGCCAGATCTGGCTGTTTCCAGCCAGATCGCCAGATCCGACTGGTCTGCATCGTAATGTCATTTTTTGGCTAGATTCCTGCAATGGTGGTCAGAATCTGGCACTGTGGGTGGGTGGAGATGTTTTTGTCATTTTACAAAATTTTTATATATTGGGTTGTTTAGTTAAATTAGCAAACCTAAGGGATTTTTTTGTGAATTTTTAAATTTTACCTCGTAATACTCACCCTATTCAACTACCCAATATTATTCCCAAAATCCTATCCAAAATATCAAAACAAACTGACCATTAGATATCTTTCTTTTCCATACAAATAATCGAGAACATAATATTATTTAAACCATGAAATATGGTTGTGTTTGATTTACTATTTTATTCTATCCTATTCATATTCTACCTAAAATACATATTTGTTTCAATATTTTCAAAATCTAATCCTATTCTATTCAACTTAAAATATTTAATTTTTAATCTCATAGGTTTGTTAATTTGACTAAACACCTTCAACAATAAAAGTTTATAAATTGACAAAAACACTCCCACTCACCTACATTTGCCAGATTCTGGCCACAACCGTCGGAAGGTGGTTGGAATCAGTTGTAATGACGCACTACCGGCTGGATCTGGCTGGTAGTGCGCCGATCAAGCCTTTTACGGTTAGATCCACCATAGATTTGGTCGGAAAAGGCCAGATCTATGGCCAAAGATTTGGCTTTTTTCGGCCAGATTGACGCACGATCGGCCAGATCCAACAGGTCATGCACCATTCCGGCAACTCCGACCACCCTCCCGTGGTGGCGGCCGGTTGCCGACATTTAATGGGTGGATGAGGGTGTTTTTATTAATTTTCAATATTTTATTGCAGGGGTGTTTAGCAAATTAACAAATGTTAATTTCAAATCATATTCTCGTAATAACAATCCAACTCAAAATATTCTACCAAACACACCATTATTGATTGTTTTGCTTCTCTTTACTTGCCAGCTTCCGATCATGCCATATTTTGCTTCTCTTCACTTACTAGCTTTTGATCATGTAATACTGAAACGATTTGGCGAAATAATACTTTTGCTCATAAGAAGCTATCACTTATTTGTTAACCTAGAAAGAAAGAAAGAAAGAAAGAAAAAAAAAAAAGAAAAAAAGAAGAAGAAGATCTATGTTTAGAGAAATCAAACATAGTGATAGCAATACATTTGAACAGAGTAGAATATCTAAATTACTTTTAATTCCTTTATGGTATTTCTAATGAATTCCCTAATTCTGTGTTTGGTTGAAGGTAATCCCCCATTACCGAGGTAATGTCGTCTTATATTACTTATATTACCACGTTTGGTTGTCAAGTAATATAAGATTCTGGTAATCTTCCAAAACCAATAGTAATTACTATTGGTTATATAGGTTGTAATCTGATTACCTCAATCTTCTTAGGTATTTTAAGATTACTTGGTAATATTAATTTTGTTACAATTTTACCCTTAACTATTAAAATTTTTAATTAAGTTTTTGGACAATAAGACCCTTATATTTAAAACAAATTGCAGGCCACCTAGGATCATCGTTGCCTGTCAGCCACCATCGTTGGCTGCTGTTAGCCACTACCGATGGTCGTTGAAATGGTGCACAACCAGCTGTGTGCCAATATTGTCATTTTCTACTAGATCGATGGCTGAAAACCACCAAATCACCATAGATTTGGTCGGAAACAGCCATATCTATTCTGGCCGTTAACGGTCATATCCATGGTGCCGTGTGCTGGAATAGATCTGGCCGTTAACGGCCAAATCCATGGCACACAATGGCCATAAATCTGGTCGAAAATGGCCATAATAGATTTGGCCATTTCTGGCCAGAATAGATCTGGCCATTTCCGACTAAATCCACGATCATCTAGCCATTTTCGACCATTGATCTGATCGAAAACGGCCATATCGACACACGATTGGCCAGATCCGACCAGTCATGCCCTGTTATGGCTATTGTTGGTGGTAGCCAATGGTGGTGGTCGTCGATCAATAGTGGCTTGGGGTGGTTAGAGGTGATTTTGTTAGAAATTAAACTTTTATATGGCTAGGGTTTTTTAGCAAAATCTCAAATGTAAGGGGTTAAAAGAAATAATTCAAAAAATAATAATTAAAATACTATTATATTAATATTTAAAAAAGAGGTCAATTTAGTAATCTATATAACATACCCACCAATTTATTTATTCCAACCAAATATATCAATAAAACATACCCACCAATTTATTCCAACCTAACTAAATACATTTCCCTAAATATTCTCAATAATCTTCAAGGTAATATATCTTTCCATTAATATAATATTTCTAGTAATACAACATTCCCTGAGTGAAATGCATCCTTAAAAACATGAATTTAATCCAACAATGCTAAGCATAGCTTTGAATTATCTATATTGATAATAATTGGTGCAATGTTTTGAAACCCAACTCGGACCGAGAACGTAGCCTCAACCGGTATAGGTTGAGCATAAACCTGACCTGTGTATTTAATCCATTGTGATCCGGGGTTAGACTGGTGTAACAGCATCGACCCGTTGGTCCGGCTGGCCCGAGGTCTAAACTGGGTCACTTATTTCACAAACCGTGTTTATGTTTTTCTGAACCCTAGAGCCTAAATCCCAAATTCGACCAATTTCACTCCTATTGCGCAAAATCTTCTTCAGCCTTCATTCTCTCGGATTCTCCATTGTGAAAAATCGATTGAATCACTGGTTCATTGGTTTCATTTTGTAGCTTTTATTTAGTTGAAGCTTTTATTCTATAGCCTTCGTTGTCTCCTGTGCAATCTTTTGCAACCTTCATTCTACCATGAGTCCCCGTTTGGCAAACTTGAGATTAAATTAGTTGGTTCAAATGCCGGGAAATGATTTATTGGTTTTTGCTCATTTCTTTGGTTCTTTGATATGGCTTTTTTGAATTTTGCCTTTTATTTTTCCTATGCTTTGTTCGGCCAAACTTTGTTGTAGATTAATTGGAGTTAGAGCATGGTTTTGGAAGCAAAACACATAATGTAATCTAAATCTTCACATGTTCCCTCTCTTGGTTGTCATTTGATTATTAGGTGTAGGAAAATGACTTGCTGATGTTATTGTCCGCAGAATACTGGATCTTGGAAGATGACTAAGCCCAACACTCTTCAGATTCTTTACTAGCATCTATCATTTTTTCAGAAAAATATAATCATCCGAAAGAACCCTTTTGCTTGTAGGAGTTTTGAGAAACAGAAATGAAAAGAATCAACTCTTTCTCTTACAAAATTAAGAATATTTAAAGATTTGAATCAGCTGACAATTGCAACAGGTAGAGCACTAATTGCTTTTCCTAGTGCTTGCCAACTTGTGTGGGTTGTTGATTTATAATTGGGTGTTAGCTCCACTACTGATTGAAAGAGGCATATGAGTTATCTAAATTACTTATCTAAATAACTTTCAATTCCTTTATGATAATTTCTAATGAATTCCCTTAAAAACATAATTTTGATTCACCCGTGTTTCAAGCAGAATTTTGTATTATCTTTATTGATAATAGGAAAAGTATCTATTGTCATTCTTTATTTTCCCATGATGAATGATATCTTTTATGTTATGTTGAAGGCTTGAAAACAAATCTTATTTGTATTAGTCAGATTTGTGATAAAGATTTTGTTATTCGATTTTCAAAAACCAAGTGTGAAGTCCTGAATAATGAGGAAGTTGCTTTGTTGGAAGGAAAGAGATCTAATGATAATTGTTATTTGCTATCTAATCATATTTCATGTATTAGTGCAAAAAATGACATTGCAGAATTGTGGCACAAGAAACTTGGACATATGAACTTCAAGGATTTGATCAAACTTTCCAAGAAAGAAGCCATTAGAGGTTTGTCCAAGTTAGAATTAACCAAAGGTAATGTTTGTGGTCCATGCCAACAAGGTAAGCAAACAAAAAACTCACACAAATCCTTGTCTTATCTTAATACTTCTTGTGTGTTGGAGTTGCTCCATATGGACTTAATGGGTCTAATGCAAACTGAAGTATTGGAGGAAAAAGATATGTGTATGTGTGTGTTGATGACTTCTCCAGATTTACCAGGGGTATTTCTTCGAAAGAAAAATATGATTCTTTTAATGCTTTCTAAAACTTGGTTAAAAAAGTGGAAGTTGAGAAGAATTCCATGGTGAAAAAGATTTTGAGAATAAGAAGTGACCATGGTAAGGAGTTTAAAAACTCTAATTTGACTAAGTTTTGTGATATGTAGGGAATCTCACATGAAGCTCGATTGAATGTGCCAACACCATCAACTGGAGCTCAATTGGGGGAAGAACCAGATTCTAATCTTTCTTCAGTATTTGAAGGAATTGAGCTTACTGTTGATCTTGCTGATCAAACTTTCCAGAGAAAGGATTCAAATAGGAAGAGTCCTTACACTTGGATAAAGAAAACACTCTATGGGTTGAAACAAACCCCACGAGCATGGTATGAGAGACTTATCACCTTGCTTCTTGAACGCAACTACAAGAGAAGTAATGCTGATAAAACCTTGTTCATTAAACATTTCAATGGTGAAGTTTTATGTGCATAGATATATGTAGATGACATTGTTTTCGGGTTAATTTCACAGACACAGTTATAAGAGTTTATTTGCTTAATGAAAAATGAATTTGAAATGAGCATGGTAGAGGAGCTTAGGGCTGCAAATTAAGCAACTTGAGAATGGAATGTTTGTCTCACAAACTAAATATGCCAAAAACATGTTGAGAAGGTTTACTCTTGATAATGCAAAACATGCCTAGACTTCCATGAGTTCTACACTTAGATTGTCCAAGGATGAACATGGGAAAAAGGTAGACAATACCTTATATAGGAGTATGATCAGGAGCCTTTTGTATTTAACAGCAAGCAAACCTAACATTTGTTTCAATGTTCGTATATGTACAAGATATCAAGCAAACCCCACTGAGCTCCATATGAATGCAGTGAAAAGAATCATGAAGTACATTTCAGGTACATGTGATTATGGGTTGTGGTTTTCATATGATTGTAATACTACTCTTGTTGGCTTCAGTGATGTAGATTGGGCAAGAAGCATTGATGATAGGAAAAGCACTGATGGAGGGTGTTTCTATCTTAAAAACAATTTGATCACTTGGTATAGCAAGAAGCAAAAGTCCATTTCTTTGTCCACTGTCAAAGCTGAATACATTCCTACTGGAAGCTGTTGTACTCAGGTGATGTGGTTAAGACAAATGTTGTGTGATTATGACATTTCTCAAGATTGTGTTACCATTTTGTTTGACAACACTAGTGCGATAATTATTTCCAAAAATCCTGTTTAGAACTCACGTACAAAGCTCATAGATATCAAACACCATTTCATTAGAGATCTTGTTGAGGACAAAATCATTACACTTTCACATGTGAACACTAACAACTGACAGATCTTTTCATAAAAGCCTTAGACTTGCAATAAGCTCAAATCTTGGATATTTCGGAAGGGATAAGGTTGACATTGATGGTAGCATGATCTTAGCGGCCAATCACAGAAATATCGGAGTTGCAATTAGAATTTGATTGCAATTCCGATATTCTCTCTCTTTCCTTAATCTCAAACTTCTATAAATACCCCCTTCAATTATGAGAAGGAGGTTAGCAATTTGTTCTAAGTATTACATTATATTTCTCTTGTAAGCTCTCTAACGCAATAAGAGAACAATGGACGTAGGCTTAAGTTCTAACTTGTCGAATCACTTTAAAATTGTTTGTATTCTTAACATTACTGCACTTTCATATTGTCATTGCTGATTTTTATTAATCACACACACGGTTTCAATTCTTTAACCAGTCAATCGGATCACTCTGGTTGGTGCAAATTTCATATCAGCAACATCCCTTATCAAAAGTAAACTTTTGTAAATAAAATATAAAAGAAATACTTCTGGTAACGCCCTATAAGAAATATGAATTTTGTTTTTTTATCATATATCAAAAGATTACATTTTGATAATAACATTGTTTATTATTGAGCTCACTATCCAATAATAGATCAAATAAATGTAATAACATTGTTTATTATCGAGCTCACTATCCAATAATAGATCAAAGAAAAACGTGAACTTATTATAATTCCATTATTTATAAATAATTTTTTTATGAGTACCTATTATAAATTCGCTAGTTTTTTTTCAATTTAATGCTGCCAGATGTAAGTTTATTTTCAGAAAATGATCATGACTCAAAGCTTCTAAATAACTTAAATAGGTATGGAAGTCAGGCTAAAGAGATCATGACTCAGGACAGCCTCAGCTGCTTGATTAAAATTAGAGTTAATAGAATATGAGTGAAAAAAAAAAAAAAGAAAAAAAAAGAAAGAAAAACTGAATGAGGTCAGGAAATAGAAGATCATGATCCATTAATGACTCAGGACAGCCTCAGCTGCTTAGCTAAAATTAGATTTAATAGAAGACAAGGAAAGGAAAAAAAAATTCTGAAAGAGGTATGCAATGCCATTAAAATTTTAAAAAATATAGTCAAACATTTAATGAAAGAGGTAGTGAGTTTCGGACATGGAGGTGCAGCCAACTTAGTTGGAATCATGCAGTAAAAAATTCAAAGCACAGCTAGCTGCTTCCTGGTTGCTTGATAAATTTATAATTTAGACCCCTTTTTTAAGCGTATTGTTAATATATGAGTTGAAGGAATTAAAAGTCATCATTAATTCTTTATTATTTTAAGTTTATAACTTAATTTTACAAAATTAAATATTTAGATCGTGGAAGCTGACGATGACTCACCCTGCCATAACCGTGGTGAGACTGGAGGAAAGAAAAAAAAATACTATATTAGTTTAACTTTTAATTTTATAAATTGGTATAACTTAGTTTACAAAAATAAAATATCTCTAAAAAGATTAAATAATTTTAAATTTTTAGCTTCTAAAATTATTTTTGTTAAAAAAAAGAGCAACATATAATTCATAGAGAAAAGAAAAATATATGTCATTGTTAAAAAGAAATTATATACATGTAGCTATTTTTTCCCTTTTCAGAAAGTCATAAGCCTAATTAAACTTCTTATTTTAAAAGGAAATAGTACGTATTCTTTTATTTCATTATTTTGCTGCGAGGCATGTGAATTTTGTATCTCGAGTCCAACTTTCAGCAATTTTACTCTCTGTTTGCTTTGCTCTCACACTCGTATTCTTCTCTTCAATCCAAAACCATGGCCGAACTTTTGCTCTCTGCAATCCTTCCTGTGTTGTTTAAAAAACTGGCGTCCCCTGAGTTATTCAATTACTACGCTAGTAAAGGATGGGTGAATTCCGAGCTGAAAATGTGGGAAAAGAAGTTGAAGAAAATTGAGGCGGTTCTCTGCACTGCAGAAGAGAAGCAACTGATGAACCAGGCTGTGAAAATGTGGCTGGACGATCTTCAAGACTTGGCTTATGATGTGGAGGACTTACCGGAAGAGTTTGCCTTTGAAGCTGCACGGCACAGCTCCAATCCTATTTTCAAGAATTTCACTCCAGTTGCTATTAAGTTCGATTTGAACCTGCGATCCAGGATAAAAGATATTAATAGGCGGTTCGAAGTTCTCTATAATGAAAGAGCTCAACTTGGATTAATGCAGAAGAACTTTGGAGGTATATCAAGTACCGCGCTTCCTGCTCAGCAAGGACTTGATCCAAGACCACCAAGCTCTAGTCTGCCAACTGAACCCGCTATTTACGGGAGAGATGAAGACATAAAGGAAATCCTTAAGATGTTGTTAAGTGATAAACCAGGTGATTCTAACTTTGCCGTGATAGCTATCGTGGCTTGGGAGGACTTGGAAAAACTACGCTTGCTCGAGAAGTGTATAACGACAAGACACTGGAACATCTCAAGTTTGAGAAGAAAGTATGGGTTTCCGTTTCACACAATTTTGATGTTTTGAGCATCTCAAAGTCAATTCTGGAGTCAATAAGACCTACATCTAGCAATCTGAATACTTTAAATGAAGTGCTAGATAAACTGAAAGAGGAAATACATGGAAGAAAATTCTTGCTAGTCTTAGATGATGTCTGGAATGAGAATTACAGCTTATGGGAAACCCTGAAGTCTCCATTCAAGGATGGTGCAACGGGAAGCAAGATGATTGTTACTACTCGCAATAAAAGAGTAGCATCAATGATGGGATCCTCTAAACCTTATGATTTAAAGCCTATATCAGATGAAGATTGTTGGAGCTTGTTTTTGAAGCATGCACCATTGAGTGGTATGGACAATATTGATGCTCTCAGAATAACCAGTTTATTTCGGGAGAGAGTTGTTAAAAACTGTGGAGGCTTGCCCTTGGTGGCAAAGGCTCTAGGTAGCCTTCTACGTCATGAGCCGAGAGTTGGTGCATGGGAAAATATATTAAATAACAAAATATGGGATTCACCTGATCCAAGTACCGTTCTTCCTGTGTTACGATTAAGCTACCATCATCTTCCTTCACATTTGAAAAGGTGTTTCGCTTATTGTGCAATTTTTCCCAAAGATTATGAATTTGAGGAGAAGGAACTTGGCCTTTTGTGGATGGAAGAAGGTATTATTCACCAATCAACTAAGCAAATGGATTTGGCTGGTGAGTATTTTCGTCATTTATATTCAAGGTCTTTTTCACAACAATCGAGTAGAAATAATTCTAAGTATGTAATGCATGACCAAGTCCATGATCTAGCTCAGTTAGTTTTTGGAGAAATTTGTTATAGATTGGAGGAAGCCAATACTCAGCAACGAAAAAACTTCGAAAGGACTCGCCGTTTTTCTTATATTTCTAATTATTTAAATGGAAGAGATAAATTCAAAGACTTGCATAAATTTAAAAGTTTAAGAACATTCTTGCCAATTTTCATTCGTCCTTATGATAAGGACAATCGATCTTACATAAGTGCTATTGTTCTTTATGATTTGTTGCCCAAGTTAAAACAATTAAGAGTATTATCTTTAGAAAGGTATTGCATCACACATTTATCTGATTCAGTTGGAAGTTTGATACATCTAACGTATCTCAACTTTTCCAATACTAAGATCAAAAGTTTGCCTAAGTCAATAAGTTCATTATTGAACTTGCAATTTTTGATATTGAAAGATTGTTCTTGTCTCATGAAGTTACCNGAAGCATGCACCATTGAGTGGTATGGACAATATTGATGCTCTCAGAATAACCAGTTTATTTTGTGAGAGAGTTGTTAAAAACTGTGGAGGCTTGCCCTTGGTGGCAAAGGCTCTAGGTAGCCTTCTACGTCATGAGCCGAGAGTTGGTGCATTGGAAAATATATTAAATAACAAAATATGGGATTCACCTGATCCAAGTACCGTTCTTCCTGTGTTACGATTAAGCTACCATCATCTTCCTTCACATTTGAAAAGGTGTTTCGCTTATTGTGCAATTTTTCCCAAAGATTATGAATTTGAGGAGAAGGAACTTGGCCTTTTGTGGATGGCAGAAGGTATTATTCACCGATCAACTGAGCAAATGGATTTGGCTGGTGAGTATTTTCGTCATTTATATTCAAGGTCTTTTTCACAACAATCGAGTAGAAATAATTCTAAGTATGTAATGCATGACCAAGTCCATGATCTAGCTCAGTTAGTTTTTGGAGAAATTTGTTATAGATTGGAGGAAGCCAATACTCAGCAACCAAAAAACTTCGAAAGGACTCACCATTTTTCTTATATTTCTAATTACTTAAATGGAAGAGATAAATTCAAAGACTTGCATAAATTTAGAAGTTTAAGAACATTATTGCCAATTTTCATTTGTCCTTATGATAAGGAGAATCGATCTTACATAAGTGCTATTGTTCTTTATGATTAGTTGCCCAAGTTAAAACAATTAAGAGTATTATCTTTAGAAAGGTATTGCATCACACATTTATCTGATTCAGTTGGAAGTTTGATACATCTAACGTATCTCAACTTTTCCAATGCTAAGATCAAAAGTTTGCCTCAGTCAATAAGTTCATTATTGAACTTGCAATTTTTGATATTGAAAGATTGTTCTTGTCTCATGAAGTTACCTTCAAAGATGAGATGTTTATCCAATCTATGTCATCTTGATATCAAAGGTGCAAATTCATTAGAAGGGATGCCAACCAGGATGAAAGAGTTAAAAAATCTCCAAAAGTTGTCTAATTTTATTGTAGGCGATGGTAAGAGTTCAAATTTGGAAGATTTGAAGAGCTTAAATTTTCTTCAAGGAGAGCTTCACATTTCAAAATTAGAGAATGCGATTGCTTCAACTAGGGCTGTTCAAAAAATGAACTTAAATTATCTTCAAGGCATGTTGGAGGGATATTAAGCAATAAGAATGAGCTAAAAGTCTTATTGCTAGAATGGGGATCCCAATTTGATCACGTAGCCAGGGACGAGGTAGATAAACGTGTACTTGGCGTGTTGGAACCTCATAACAATCTAAGAGGACTCACCATCAGGTTCTATGGCGGTTCAGAATTTCCATCATGGCCAAGAGGTTCACTGTTGCTCTCTAACATGGTGGTCTTTAAGTTAGAAAATTGTAACAACTGCACAAGCTTGCCTTCTCTTGAACTGTTGAGGTCGCTAAAAGACCTAAAAATCCAAGGGATGCCGAGATTAGAAAGAATCCATTTTGAGACGCCTCTCAAGTCATTAGAGATTCTTTGTTTTGAGAATTTGCAAGAATGGCAGTATTAGAACACCAAGAGAGAAAATGAGGCCGCCGAAAGATTTCCTTGCCTTCGTGAGCTTTCCATCATGGATTGTCCAAAACTTACAAGGGAATTACCCAACTGTCTTCCTTCGTTAGAAAGACTTTTTATTAAGAAGTGTACAGAGTTGATTGTTTCATTCTCAAGTTTTTCATTGCTAAGTAAATTAGAAATTGATGACTGCAAAGGAGTGATGTGCAATAGTACTATTTCTGCTGACTTCCCATCTGTAAATTCTATGACTAGTTCAAGTAATTCTAAGTTTGGAAATTGGATAAAGCAGGGATTTCAAAAAGTTGTAAAGATTGTTGGTTGGAAGGATCTGATGAATTTATGGCAAGATTTGAATTGTGTTGAGAAGCCACTAAGTGGGATTCATGGTCTTATCTTCATTAAAGAGTTGTATATTGTAAGATGTACAAGTATTGTTTTTTTTACGGAGATCAATCTTCTTCCCAATTTGAGTTCTCGTACAATTAGTAATTGGGAGGCTTTAGAATCTTTTCTTGAAGTATTGAAGCAAAGCAATTTGGAGAGCCTTGTAATTAGAGATTTTGATTCACTAACACAAATTGCAAGAGACACGCTGCCGCCATCTCTTACAAAGCTTGAGATACGAAAGTGTGAGAACTTGAAAGAATTAGAAGATTTCAGTACTACTCTGCTTGAGTCTTTGTCCATTTATGACTGTCTATCTCTCATGTACGTATCATCACTTGGTCAGTTTCCGGAGACACTCAAGCACATTAGCATTGAGAGATGCCCAGAGCTCTTCACAATTTTATTTTCAGGAGCCCAACTCTTACCAAAGGCACTAGAAGACCTCTCTATAAAATATTGTTCGAGGTTGAATTCAATAGGAGAGACGTTTGATAATAGCACTTCTTTTAAAGAGATTATGCTATTTGCCTGTGAACAACTTGACTCCATTCCTTCAGGCCTACACAATCTTGCTTTTCTACAGAGTTTTCGCATAGGGGATTGCCCAAATATTAGAATATCCTTAAAATTCCCGAGCTATCTTCAAACATTAGATGTATTGAATTGTCCAATATGTTTAACAGAAGAAGATTTTTCCCACCAACCTAACAGACCTCAACATCAGCGAAGATGTCGACGTGTAAGCCACTAACAGAGTGGAGGTTGCACAACTTCACCTCTCTTGTATTAGTGGAACGCCAAGTTTTCCTCCGACTTCTCTATCTTCTATGCCTTTTCAAAGCCTCAGCTCTCTTAAAGTGTTGACATTCAGAAATTTTCCAGAGCTGAAAACCACTCCAGATTTGGGCAGCCTCATTTCTCTTCAACATTTGTGGATTGATGATTGCCCAAACCTCAAATCCATTCCACATATTAAGAGCCTTACGTCTCTTAAAAGTTTACAGATTTGGAAATGCCCAAAGCTTGTATCCGTTCCCAATCTGGGAAGCTTCACCTCTCTGGAATCTCTGAAGATTCGGAAATGCCCAAAGCTCATATCCTTTCAAAGCATGCCATCCTCACTTCTGCTGTTAGAGATTGAGGACAGTCCATGGCTAAAATTCCTGTGGAGAAGGGGTACAGTTACAGCAAAATACTGCTCGACGATTGCTCACATCCCTAAAGTCGAAATAGATGAGAAATTCATTTACAATTCAAAGGAGGAAGAATGAGATTAGTTATTTGATTTCAGAGCTTCCAATCAGACAATTATCTCATTTCAACCCAGGTTTGTCATTTTCTTACACCCTCTAACAGTAGTTATTTTTCTGTTTTTCTGCCTCAGTTTCCAAGTTCACTAAATTATTCTTAATTTAACTTTCCAGATAATTGTGAAGAAGACACTCACTGCGGCAGTTTGTCTAGGTAATTCAACATTTTGTGATGTTTCATTTAAATTAAATTTTATTCCTCATATCTTGAATTTGTCCGATATATTTTCTACTTTCAAAAATATGTTGCCACAGATTTTTATGGTTAACTTAATTTTGTTTATTTTATTTTTGTTTTCAGTGGAAAGCAAGTGAATAGCGGAAATCCCACAGTTGGATTTGATAATTTGCATAAGGTGACTGAAAATGAATTCTTCGATTTGTAATTTTTGATTGTCAAATCTGCTAAAGATCCTTGCTACTCTGTTTTTTGCATGTATATTTGGACATTTTGTACCTTACTCCTGGTCCTGGCTTTAGTTTTGACGTCCTTGCATTTCATGGCCTTGTATAGATAGTATGATTAAACAACGGTATACCTTTTGGTTTCTTATTCATTTGCTAAAACAAGCTTAATTCTGTTTCTCACATCTAATTGAACATTTTGTAACTTACTCCTGGCGTTACATTTTCATGCTTATATTACAAAACACGGATTTGCAATTCTAATTGTTGCATCGGTTAACTAATATGAACTTACATACTTATCGCTACATTTTCTCCATTCCTTTTTGATTTTTTTTGTCTTTAAGAAAGGCCAGATTTTATTTTTTGTTTTGAAATCTGTGTAGCTTATCTTATCTACTGAATCAATTTCTATCTTTTCTTACGCAAATAATGCAATACAGGACCATAACACGATGTGAGATTTGAGGATAAAGCAGCCCTAATCATTGCAAACCATTCAAAACATTTGATGTTCTTCAATTGCAAGCACGTGAGACATTCTTTCCCCTCTTACGTAGACTTATTTTTACGTTTTCTCAACACATTTTCCTTTTCTTCTTGGAGCATATTTTGCTTTTAATGTTCAAGGTGAATTCAAAGATTGGAGTGATGGGATCAACATCGCTCTAATGAAGTGATATGCCACCTTGGCTGAAAGACTCGAGGAAAAATGTCTTGCAGTTCTTGTTACCAATAAAAGGGCTGAATAGCATTTTCAACTTGAAGAAAATAAAGTGATATTTCTTGAGATTAGTCACTATACATGGTGGTACGCCATTTTGAACTTGGATGAGGATTTCTTAAAGATTTTTTAGATCTTTGTAACATGACAAGGTCATATCACAGGATCAGAGAGTGCAAAAATTCCCAATATCACATATCTTAAACTTCAGGAGATGAGGAGTTCTCCTCTCCTTGAATCCTTTTCATAGAGGGCTTGCTGGATATGATGATCTCATTGTCACACCACGGCACCATGAAGTCACTGTGATGATATGAGGATTTTGAAGCCTGTAAAATTGCAGCGACAGGGCAGAGACGTAGGTACTATAATTGATAGTTTCTTCATCAAGAAAATTAATTTGTTCATAATCCTATTCTTCGGTTATACATACTCTGGTAAATGGTGCTGTTACAAATTTGTATAGGTGAAGGGTGAGTGTTGGGAATTGTGAGGTGTTGTTAAATATATAATACGAATCAAAGACTGCAGAGGAAAATTTCTTATTTTGGGACTTGTGGGCATAAAGTGAGAGAGTGTTGAGGAAAGTGAAGGAAGGGTGTACAAGGGTTTCGGGTTCGATTGGGTTTAATGTGAGTAAATTAGATTTGTACTATGTTTTTCCACTTTAGTCATTTGACTCATTTTCTGTGGATGTAGGCATGAATTTGCCGAACCACGTCAATTTGGTGTTCTTCTATGTCGGTGTCTGTCTCATTCCCTTATTTACTTTTCATGTCTCACAAATCCTATTAGAATACTATTTTCTAATCTCCAGGGTGTGCTCACATAAAATATAGAGTAAATAGATAATGTAGTTGATAGCTATCCCCATACCAGTAATTACTGCACAACAGATAAGCAAAAATATCATCAACAAATCAATAATTCAAGAACAATCAAACTCAAATCCACATCATTACTCGCCAATTGACTTAACAAAATTTTAGATTTCCCTATTGTTAGAATTCTAGATAGAAAGATAAAGAATTCTAGAGAGAAAAGCAAAGAATGAAATTGTATTTCAAGTTTGTATTTTCCAATGTACAAGAGCTCTATTTATACTTACAGTACATACTAGAATTATGCTAATGATTTATGCTAATGGCTAAAATCAAGCTTTGCTTGATTCAAGCCATTGATCAAGCTTTGCTTGATTCAAGCCATGGATCAAGCTTTGCTTGATTGTGGCTAACACCCCCCTCAAGCTCAAGGTGGTAATGTAGATTCCAACTTGAGATAGGAAACTAATTCTGTGAATCGTCCTGGGTGTGAGCTTTTGTGAAGACATCGACAAATTGATCAACAGAGTGGACAAATAACAAGTCAATAATGCCTTGTGCGATGTGGTGGCGAATGAAGTGGCAATCAATCTCAATGTGTTTAGTGCATCATGGATGACATCATTATGAGCAATTTGTATGGCACTCTGATTTTCACAATGAATAGGAATGGTAGAGGAATGAGCAACACCCATATCTTCTAGGAGCCAATGAAGCCAAAGTAGTTCGGCAGTGGTATCTGCTAAGGCACGATATTCGGCTTCTATATATGCTAGATTGAGCTGTAACTAATTGTTTCTTACTTCGCCAAGAGATGAGTGAGTCACCAAGGAAGAAACAATACCCAGTGGTGGAATATCGATTAGTAAGATCCCTTTATCGTGAATACTATGCACGAACCCAAAAATCCAAACTTATTGATCGCCAGTCTACCTTGCCGTTAACACTCACCAGTCACCGTAAACAATCACTAGAATGCAGTCGGAGCCATCAGCCGAAATCCCAAAATTCATCGCTTCCAGATCCAAAACATGCAAAAGTTCAATGACTTTTGCGTTTCCTTTTCTTTTCTTTCTAATGTCAACTTTGATGGACACGTGTCAACACCCCAGCCCTACACTCCAATTTTAAATTTTGATTTTTAATTCAAAATATTAATTGATCATCCAACCCTTACTATTAAGGGTCTTTTGACCATTTTGCCTTTTTCCATAAGGAAATCTACAAACAAAATTGCGCTTTGGGTAGTAAATTGATATTTTGAAACTTTTTGGATGAGAAAGTGTCATTAAGCCAATCCTTGGGTGAGAAAAGTTATTCTCCAAACTCATCTGAAAATGCATAAAAATAATTACATAAAGTTTTTTCTCTCTCTCTCTCTCTCTCTCTCTCTCTCTCTCTCTCTATATATATATATATATATATATATATATTTACCATTTTTTGATCATGCCATACTGAAACGATTTGCTGAAAAAAAAGTTGTTGGAGTAGGTGCCCTATAGCCAATCAATTATTGTAGAATTGACTCTTCTCTTTGTAATAATGTTTATTAATCAATAAAAAGACATTTTCTACTATATCATGTAAATCATATCCGTATGTATTGATATATGTCTTTAGGATCAGTAGTGGATCCAGAAATTCTTATTAGGGTGGGCCAAAATAAAATGTAATAGCATATAATATTCATATTCTATGTTTTTAGTTAAATTTGACATAAAAAGAAAAAAAAAATTACATATAAATATTTTTTTAAAAAAATTTAAGGGTGGGCAATATACTCTAGATCCGCCCCTGTTTAGGATGGTAGAAATGTGATGAGGGTATCAAATGTTTCAAATCTTGATAGTAAGAACCCCATGATCACATATGGTGGCCATTATAGAAATGTTCGTAGCCCCAGTATTATTCTGACCAAGGACACAGACAATACGGTAAGTATATCATAGTGTTGAATGACCCTATCGAAAGGCAGTGATTGATCTCACTTGTCAAGGTTGTTTGCCGACAACCTGGTGCAACACATGAGTGCTTGCTGTAGGCAAGTTCACTGGACTGACCCACTAGAGGATTCCATATAGATGGTAACCCTAGTGTCTATGGAACAAATCCTCTAACGAATAGTGGTTCATGTGATCCTTAGACTTGAGATCACTGGAGCGCCTTATGCACCAATTGGTGTGGTTTGACACTAGCCTAATGTAGTTCTATTCAGAGCTATCAATACGGTAGTGATTGGCTGCATCGAGGAGTATATCAAGACTATGCTGGATCGACAAAGGATTCATCACTCTCGGGTACGAAAGAAGTTATCTCATTGTGCAATTCAGTAAATGGCAATGACACTAAATCTGTGGCCACAGTGGGATTGAACTGTTGCTCAATCCAATTTATTATTCCTGTCATTGGTCTAGTAACTGAATATAAAGGTACCGAGGATAAATGAGGTTGACACTATTTCTATACCCCAATCTCGATGAGATAATAGATGATGAAAGGATTTGATTGTACGGTAACCATATCATTGATAGGTAGCTATATTTCACTAAATCTAAATCTATCGGGGGGCCATGATGTCTTGCTAGGGGCCAATCTTAGTCTATGTGTAGTGAGACGATTAATTGGTGTTAATCGCGATACTAATCACTACCGATATGATGAAGAGGTTATGACTCACAAATTTAGAAGATAATTTAAGAATCAGTTTGTGCTAGGGGTATTTTCATCTTTTAGGATGAAAGGGTATTTTGGTAATCTCACAATGCAATTAAATTTGCTGAGGTTGTTGTTTGTATTTAATTTAATGTTAAAATTAGATTAGTGAGATTATATTTAAATATATGTACGCATATATTTAAATGAATTATTATTATTAATTAAATGTTAATATTATATATATATATATATATATATATATATTGATTTTAATTATAATAATAATTAATAAATCTAAAATACCAAAACAAGAGGTGTTTGATACAGGGTGGATTAGGGTTGGAGCCATGCTCATTCCATATGAGAATAGGGTTTTAACTCATACACTAATAAGTGCAAGTTGAATTAAAAAGAATATTGAATTTAGAATTATTCAATTGAAAAGAAAGAGGGCAACCACCCTTACCCACTCTCTCCATCACGTCTAAGGCATGAGATTGAAGAGAAATCTTTCTCTTCTTGTTCTTTTGAAAACCTTTGATTCTTGAAACCTGGGTGCTGTCGTAGGCACCAAATTAAAACCCTAAAAATACATGTAGTAGTGTGAGTAGGGATCGTTCCCACGAAGAGTCTAGCCAAGTTTTATGTTACGTGAACCAATATGGGGAGGATTTGAGTAAAAACAAAAAAAATTTCAGGAAAAGAAATTCAACCTAAATTACCGAAATCAATCAAAATAACGAAACTT